AAATCTCTACTTCCAGCCTTTTGCTGGTTAATATGGGAATAACAATCTCCCAGCCTTTTTGCCTATGCTGGCTTCAAACCTTGATCCTCAGATCTCAGCCTCCTGGTTACAAGTGTGAGCCACCAATACCTGGATTTTATTTGGCATTTAGAATGTTTCTAGACATGATTCTTAGTCTTATTAGGTCAAGATTCTTAACTCCTTTTTCTTTTGTGCTCTTGGGGCTTGAATTCACTACCTGGGCACTGTCCCTGAGCTTTTTTCCTCAATGTAGTACTCTACCACTTAAGGCAGAGCTCCACTTCTGGCTTTTTTTAGTAGTTAATTGGAGATAAGAGTCTTACAGAAGTTCCTGCCTGGGCTGGCTTCAAACCTAGATGCTCAGATTCCAGCATTCTGAGCAGCTAGGATTATAGGCATGAGCCACCTGTGCTCAGAAACTCTTATTTATTTATTTATTTAACTGAAGTCTAACATTGATCAGAAAAAAAAACCACAGATCAAAAAGTACTGTTTCACAAACTAAATGCAGTCATAATTAGAAAAACAAAGGAGGGGCTGGGAAGGTGGCTCAGTGGTAGAGTGCTTGCCTTGCATGCATGAGGCCCTGGGTTCAATTCCTCAGCATCACATACACAGAAAAAGACGGGAGTGGCGCTGTGGCTCAAGTGGTAGAGCACTAGCCTTGAGCTGAAGAGCTGAGGGACAGCACCCAGGCCCAGAGTTCAGGCCCACAACTGACAAAAAAAGAAAAACGGAGGATGATCAGTGTCCGGGAGCTTAATCCCATCCTCCTTCCCCCAAATAAGCTTTTATTTCATCATCTTCAACACCATCAGAGTTAGTGGAAAGTAAAGAAAGGGTTGCCTCTGGGGAGGGCACAGAGGACAAGAAATGTCACTTTCTTTTGGTCTGGCCCTTGTGTACTTTTTCTTTTCATTGTTGGTGGCACTTGTTTGGTTGGTTGGTTTTGTAATTTGTTGTGGTCCTGGGCATTAAATCCAGGGTCTCATGCATGCTAGGCAAGGGCAATACAATGAACTACAACCACACCCCTGACTCTCATATTTTAAACTCAGCCTGACCTTTGCTGGCTGGCTAGGAATCTGAGAGGATAAAACGTCCTCATGAAGATGAAAGTACATTTCACAATGCCCACCTGACAGGCTCTTCTTAGGTTGAAACCCTCTGGCAATTAGCCATTGTGTGGAACACAAGGCTCCTTATCAGAAGACTCAAAGGCTAGGGCCTGGACTTCTGGCCACCCTGTGTGGCATGGGGCAATAAAATGGCTTTCCCTTGTTTGAATTCCAGTAATCAGATCAGATAGCAGCTCCCATAGTATATGAGTCTTTAGTATATGAGTCATTTAAGGGGACCTTAAACTTCCTTAGCACAGAGGTAATAAAACACCTTTATCTGGGGAAGTCAACATCTTCCCTACCCAGGGGAACACCAGACTGACCAAGGCAGCAGAGTCCTGCACTCTGCTGGGAATACTCTGGAGTGGGAGAGGCCCTTGTTCTGTGAGTCTTTTTTTTTTTTTTTTCTGGTCGTGAGGCCTGAACTCTGGGCCTGGGCGCTGTCCCCCAACTATTCAGCTCAAGGCTAGCGCTCTACCACTTGAGCCACAGTGCCACTTCTGGCTTTTTCTGCTTATGTGGTGCTGAGGAATTGAACCCAGGGCCTCATGCATGCAAGGCAAGCACTCTACTCCTGAGCCACCTTCCCAGTCCCTGTGAGTCTTTCAGCTAAAGAACTGAGTTCATGCTGGGTGCTAGAGTGGCTCATGTCTGTAATCTCAGAAGGCTGAGATCTGAGGATCATGGTTCGAAACCAGTGGGGGCATGCAAGTGAGACTCTAATCTTCAATTAAGCACCAAAAAAAACCTGAAAGTGGAACTGTGGCTCAAGTGGTCAAGCACTAGCCTGAGCACAAAAGCTCAGGGACAGCACCCTTTTCTTGAATTGAAGCCCCGGGGCCAGAAGCAAAAAAATTAAAAAAAAAAAAAAAAAGTTCACAGTTCTCAATGCCCACGTGAGGGAGCTGTTAGAGTTAAATCAGGGAGCAGGTGTATGATTAGCACTTTTGGGGAAAACAGAAGTCCCCTTCCTCTCTAGTGTCCTGTTCTCAGGAAGCCCCAGCCAGCAGCCCAGAAGGGTTGGTGACGTGTACAGAGCAGATGGGTAGCTACCCTCTGTCTTCCAGGTTTTCCAGGACTGGGCGTGGGATCCAGGAAGCAGTTCAATGTCAGCAGGTGTTGGAGCTGCTTGGCATCCTCCTCCTCCCCCATTCTTGTGTCCTCTCAGGGAGGGATCTGCTCAGACCTTAGCTAGTCAGGGGTGATGTGCATAGGGGAGGATGGGAAGCAAATGTTACAAAAGCAGGGAGTAAAAAATGTATGGAGATCAGGCACCAGTGGTTCACGTCTACAATCTTTGCTACTTGGGAGGCTGAGCTCTGAGGATCAAGGTTCAGAACCTGCCCAGGTAGGAAGGTCTGTGAGATTTTTTTTTTTGGGGTCCGGTCGTGGGGCCTGAACTCTGGGCCTGGGCACTGTCCCTCAGCTCTTCAGCTCAAGGCTAGTGCTCTACCACTTGAGCCACAGCACTGCTTCCGGCTTTTTTTCTTTTTGCTTATTTAGTGCTGAGGAATCAAACCCAAGGCCTCAGGCATGCAAGGCAAGCGCTCTACCACTGAGCCACCTTCCCAGCCCCTCTGTGAGATTCTTATATCCAACTGACCACCAAAAAGCTGGAAGTGGAACTGTGGCTCAAGTGATAGCATGCCTGCCTTGAGTGAAAAAGCTAAGAGAGATTGAGAGGCCCTGAGTTCATGCACACACACACACACACACACACACACACACACAGTGCATGGAGAAAAAACTCTGGGACCTTGACAGCTGGACCTAGTGTTTCTTCTTGCTGTGGGACAAATGTACTAAAGGGAGCAGGGGGCTGGGAATGTAGCTGAGTAGTAAGAGTGCTTGCCTAGCCTGCATGAAGCCCTGGGTGCAATTCTTCAGTGCCAAATAAACAGAAAAGGCTGGAAGTGGGGCTGTGGCTCAACTGTTAGAGTGCTAGCCTTGAGGAAAAAAAAAAAATCTCAGAGACAGTGCCCAGGACCTGAGTTCAAGCCCCAGGACTGGAAAAAACAATAAAGAAAGAAGAAAAGGAAGCAGGGATGTCTGAATGAGAGGTGGTCCTGGAAGAATGCTGAAAGCAAAGCACAGATGACTTCAGACTGCTCCTCTGAACAGACACTCCCATGCTAAGCCCTCTCCTGGCAGGTGTTTATCACGTCATCCCTCCCGACGGTCTTAAGAAGTTAAGAAGTCTTTGTTATCCCAAGAAGGAAACTGAGTCTTGGCCAGGTCCAGCCTCACAGCTCCCAAATGGCAGTGCTGGGACTCAACGCCAACCCTCTCTCCCTCATCCATTAGGAGAGTCTGTCAGTTCACATCCTTAGGAAAAATACTCAGCTCAGACCAGTGACAGAGTAGCTCCCTTTCCAGCCACTGGGGAACTTTCTCTGTGTGTGTTGGGGGAATGGGGGAAAAGAAAGAGAGACAGAGACAGATAGAAAGAGAAAGAGAGAGAGACAGACAGAGAGAGACAGAGACAGAGAGATTGGGGGGAGGATTCTGTCTCCCATGCAGGGCTCTGACCCAGTCTCCCTCCTGCTTTCTCAGGTCTGAAGAATCTAGGAGAATCTTCTATGGACTTGTGACTAGATCAGCACAGACAGCTCTCCCAGGAGACTTGGACCACAGTGAGTACCTTCATGAGGGAAGAGGCAGGCAGCCAACTAGGGGTGTGTCCCTGCCCTGTCTCTCTGCAGCTCTGGCTCCGCTCTGCTTCCCCTTTCACTGGACTCAGGAAACTCACATGGCTCTGGGAGGCCACCTTCACTCCCCAAGGGCCATGGCAACAGCCACAAACATATGTGTGTCTATTCGATTTGTTTATTCTTACTCTACCACTTGAGCCACACTTCTACATCTACCTTTTTTTTTAACCATCTTGGTGGGTTTTGTGTGTATGTGTGTGTTGTTGTTGTTTGTTTGTTTTGTCAGTCATGGGGCTTGAACTCTGGGCCTGGGCGCTGTCCCTCAGCTCTTCAGCTCAAGGCTAGTGCTCTATCACTTGAGCCACAACACCACTTCCGGCTTTTTTTCTGCTTATGTGGTGCTGAGGAATCGAACCTAGGGCCTCAAGCATGCAAGGCAAGCTTGCTCTACCACTGAGCCACCTTCCTAGCCCCCAACTTCAGGTTTTCTGAGTGCTTTATTGGAGATAAGAGTCTCACTTTCCTGCCCAGGCTGGCTTTGAACAGCGATCCTCAGATCTCAGCCTCCTGAGTAGCTAAGATCACAGGTGTGAGCCACCAGGGCCCGGCTACCATCTTGTTTTTTAAAAAATATTTTTTGTGGTACTGGGGATTGAACTCAGGAACTTCAGTTTGCAGTGCCTTCCCACTGAGCCACGCCTCCAGTCCTTCCAGCATTTTTTTTCTGGTTAACTTGAGAGAAGTGTTCTCTCAGATGTATCTCGCTGGGACTGGCATCATACCTTGGTCCTCAGATCTTAGTCTCCTGAGTAGCCAGGATTACAGGTGTGAAACACCAACCAGCAACTGGCCTACGATGAATTCTTAAGCAACGGACAGGATTTGTTTGTAAAAACAGCATTTCTCTCTTAAGGCAGGCAGATGAACCTTATTATAAGGGCAGATGCAGATGGATGGATGGGTGGGTGGACAGACAGATAGATGGATACCATCGATCGATGGCTGTCCCCAGTACAGTTGGCAACTAGAACTCTGCTCTCATCCTAAGCTTGATCGTGACTTACATCTCAACTTCAAGTTTCTGGAAGTGTCTGCGGTGACTGCAGCTGTGTTTGTGAAGGAGGCCGCAGGGGCCTGGGGTGGGCAGGCAGGTCGCAGTCCCTAACCCCGGCGCTCTTCCCCCTGGCAGGCCTGGGCGGGCGGCGGCATGCGGCTGCCTCGCGTCTTCTCCTCGGGCACCGTGGTGCCCGCCCTCCTGCTGGGCCAGACCTGCCTGCTGCTCTTCCTGGTCTGGCGGCCGGGCCCGCCATCCCCGGCGGGCAGCCCGGAGCGCGTGCACGTGCTGGTGCTGTCGTCCTGGCGCTCGGGCTCGTCCTTCGTGGGCCAGCTGTTCAGCCAGCACCCGGACGTCTTCTACCTGATGGAGCCCGCCTGGCACGTGTGGGCCGCCCTGTCGCAGGGCAGCGCGGCGGCGCTGCAGATGGCGGTGCGGGACCTGGTGCGCTCCGTCTTCCTGTGCGACATGGACGTGTTCGAGGCCTACCTGCCGTGGCGCCGCAACCTGTCGGACCTGTTCCAGTGGGCGGTGAGCCGGGCGCTGTGCTCGCCGCCCGCCTGCGGCGCCTTCCCGCGCGGGGCCATCAGCAGCGAGGCGGTGTGCAAGCCGCTGTGCGCGCGCCGCCCCTTCGCCGCCGTGCGGGAGGCCTGCCGCACCTACAGCCACGTGGTGCTCAAGGAGGTCCGCTTCTTCGACCTGCGCGCGCTGCAGCCGCTGCTCACCGACCCGGCGCTCGACCTGCGCCTGGTGCACCTGGTGCGCGACCCCCGCGCCGTGCTGCGCTCGCGCGAGCAGACGGCCAAGGCGCTGGCCCGCGACAACGGCATCGTGCTGGGCACCAACGGCACGTGGGTGGAGGCCGACCCGCGCCTGCGCGTGGTGACCGAGGTGTGCCGCAGTCACGTGCGCATCGCCGACGCCGCGCTGCGCAAGCCGCCGCCCTTCCTGCGCGGCCGCTACCTGCTGGTGCGCTTCGAGGACCTGGCGCGGGACCCCCTGACCGAGATCCGCGCGCTCTACGCCTTCGCCGGCCTGAGCCTCACGCCCGAGCTGCAGGCCTGGATCCACAACATCACGCACGGCTCGGGCCCCGGCGCGCGCCGCGAGGCCTTCAAGACCACCTCCAGGGACGCGCGCAACGTCTCGCAGGCCTGGCGCCACGAGCTGCCCTTCGCCAAGATCCGCCGCGTGCAGGAGCTGTGCGCAGGCGCGCTGCAGGCGCTCGGCTACCGGCCCGTCTTCTCCGAGCGGGAGCAGCGCGACCTCGCCCTGGACCTGGTGCTGCCGCGCGGCCCGGGCAGCTTCCGGTGGGCGTCGGCCACCGAGCCGCAGCGCGGGCCTTAGCCGGGGACCTCAGCCCGGAGACGAGGGGACCCGGTGAGCAGAGGGGCTGGCGCCAGCCACCCCGGGCCCGAAGTTGGGGACCCCCCCCATTCCCCTTTCTCCCCCCCTCCCTGGATTAATTTTCTTTCTCCTTCCTTCCTTCCTTCCTTCCTTCCTTCCTTCCTTCCTTCCTTCCTTCCTTCCTTCCTTCTCCTCCCTCCCTCCCTCCCCTCTCTCCTTCCTTCCCTTTCTTTTTTTCTCCCATTCTTTCTGGGGGGGGGGGGGATGGAGGGCTACTGAGACTTCAACTCAAGGCCTCTGTCCTCCCTCATCGTCTTCATTTTTCTTCCCAAAGCTGACACTCTACCACTGGAGTCACATCTCCACCTCTTAAGTTTTTGCTGGTTAATTGGAAATGTGTCTCTCGCAGATTTGTCAGGTTTCAAGTCGCAACATTGAGGTCTCAGCCTCCTGAGTAGCTAGGATGAAGGGGCAAGAGGTGTGACTCAAGTAGTATAGCGCCAGCCTGACAGCAGAAAGGGTCAGAGGGGGCGGGGGGGGGGGGGTGCTGAGTAGGATTCCGGACATGGGCCCTCCGCCTCACGCTGTTCCTTTGAGTCTTCTTTAGGAGCTGGTGTCCCATCAAGCTCAATCTTCATGGAAGGAGAAACTCTTCCACCCCCCGCCCTTTCTCTGGGGTACAGCAGGCACGAGCTCCCCTCAAGCACTTTCCGCTTAACTCTCTCCTTCCTTGGATGTACAACACAGTAGCTGAGAATGGTATGCCATTCCTGGCTGGGCATGGAGGGGCACTCACGCACCCCATTCTCTTCACGCCTGGGTCGCCAGACTCCATCAAAGTCGTGGCCCATCTTCAGTGAGAGAGCAGAGGCGACGTCTGTCTGTGGTCTCCCCTTAGCCTCTCTCTGCCCTACCTTCTAGTGACCGCTCCACACCCCATCACCCTGCCCAGGTATAATGAACCTTTGATGTGCCTTTGATTTGTCTGGATGGGAAAGATCCTACTTGTGGAAATAAACGTCATTCTTAATTTGTGTGATGCATATTAGATTTTGCACTATCCCCTTAAGCTTATTTTCTGCTCATGGCTGGCACTCTACCACTTGAGCCACAACTCCACTTCCAGCTTTTTGCTGGTTGATTGGACTTTCCTACCCAGAATGGGTTTGAACTGTGATCCTCAGAACTCAGCCTTCTGATTCTCTAGGATTCCAAGTATGAGCCATCTGTGCCTGGCCAGTTTAGACGAAATCTTTTCAGAAGTAAAGGGACATGGCCAAAGTCATGAGGAGAGAAGAATCGTGAAGGGTGAAGGGAAATTTTGCTCTCAGCGTTGCAGGCGAAGAAGAAGATGAATGAAGCTTACCAAGACCCTCTCCCGAGCAGAAAGGTGGGCTTTCCCCCCTTTTTATTTGGTTTAGGGAAGAGTAGGGCTCGAAACACAGCTGTGCCCTGTGGGAGATGGTAAATTCGGGGCTGAGAGTATAGAATCTGGAAAGCAACGTGCATAAGCCTGCAGGTGGCAGTGAGAAGAGGAGGAAGCGCAGCGGGGGCCTGGCAGCAAGCCGGGTGAAGTGGGTAACAGAGCTCCTGAGGTTGGCACAGGCTCCCGTGCCTGGAAGGTATATGGGGTAGGTCATAGGGTAAATGTAATGAAATCAATCTGGCCCGGAACGCCGAAGAAAAAAGGACTCTGAGAGGGGCTTCTGCCTTCACTTTGTCCTTCCCAGCAAAATTTTCTGCTTGTGAGCCACAAACACCTAGCAATGGGTTGATTAAAGGGAATTTGGACCACATGTGGTGTCACATGCCTGTAGCTCCTGCTATAAGGAAAGTATAGGTAGGAGAGTCTTGATCTGAGGCTGGTCCTGAGCAGCAAATGAAGACCCTCCCTGAAAAAATAACTAACGTGCCAGAAGGGCTGGAGGTGTGACTCAAGGCACAGTGCCTTGCCTACCTGCACAAGGATTTTAGTCCTGAGCTCAGGAAACAAGAACCAATAAATGCCCAATAAATGTTTAAGAGGAAAATAAAGTTCACGGAACCTCCGGGAAGGACAAGGATTCACATCTGTGAATCCACGTGGAACACTCCAGATTACATGGGGACTCGAAGTTTGCCACATCATTGTCACCATCAGTTGCCAGAAGGAATTCTGGTGGTTTCTAGCTTCTGATTCTCAGCACACAGATGGCTTTGGGTTGGTAGGGAAAATAGTATCTAGAGTTGGGCGCTGGTGGCTCATGCCTGTAATCCTAGCTACTCAGGAGGCTGAGATCTGAGGATTGCAGTTCAAAGCCAGCCCAGGCAGGAAAGTCCATGAGATTCATATCTCCAGTTAACCACCAGGAAGCAAGAAGTGGCACTGTGGTTCAAGTTGTAGAGCACTTGCCTTGAGCTCAAGAGCTGAGGGACAGCGCTCAGGCCGAGTTCAAGCCCCATAACTGACAACAAAAAAGAAAAAAGGGTATCTAGAATTTTGTGCTTCTTTACTTGGCAATATATATGAACCTGGAGCTGATGCCTCTGGCCAGGTCATTCATATTCCCTATAGACTCTGTGTGTGTGTGTGTGTGTGTGTGTGTGTGTGTGTGTGTGTGTGTGTTGACCCCTGAGCCACTTCTCCTTTTTTTGTAGTTTAGTGGAGATAAGAATTTCAAGGATAGACTTTCCTGCCCAAGCTGGGGGCGGGGGTGAGATGGGGGGCGGGGGGGGGGGTGGACAACCACTAAGGAACAGTGCCCAGACCCTGAATTCAAGCCCTAATAAAAGAAAAGGCAGATGCTGGTGGCTCACGCATGTAATTATGGCTACTCTGAAGGCTGAGATCTAAGGATTGTGGTTTGAAGCCAGCCCAGGCAGAGAATTCCGTGAGACTCTTTATCTCCAATAAAGCACTCAGAAAAGGCCAGGAGTGGCACTGTGGCTCAAGTTGTAGAGCACTAGCTTTGAGCACAGAGAGGCTCAGGGACAGTGCCTAGGCCCTGAGTTCAAACCCTAGGACTGGCAAGAAGAAAAGAGAGAGAGAGAGGGAGAGAGGAGCAAGATATTCGTGATGCGAATGGCTTAGAACGAGGCGATTGTGATCCAGAAGAGCCTCACATGACAGCGACACCCCCCAGGTCTCATACCTATTGATGACCACAGTTAATGGCCTCTGTACTGCCCTTGCATTGCTCCATGAATCATCTCTTCTGTGATTACCAAGGTGCCAGAACTGGAATGCCTGAGGCCTGCTTTGCTGTCTGCACATAGAACATTCCAGGATGAGCCCTGTCTGGTCTCTTCCTGCCTTGGGTGAGCCTATTTTAAAAATTATCATCAGGGCTGGGAATGTGGCTCAGTGGTAGAGTGCTTGCCTAGCATGCACTGGGTTCAATTCCTCAGTTCCACATAAACAGAAAAAGCTAGAAGTGGTGCTGTGCTAGAGTGGTAGAGTGCTAGCTTTGAGCACAGAGAGGCTCAGGCCCAGGCCCTGAGTTCAAGCTCCAGGACTGGCAAAAAAAAATTACCATCAGAAGCCGGCACTGGTGGCTCATGCCTGTAATCCTAGCTACTCAGAAGGCTGAGATCTGAGGATCACAGTTTGAAGCCAGCCAGGAGCAGAAAATGTCTGGAGACCTATCTCCAATAATCTACCCAGAAAAAGCCAAGAGTCGCGCTGTGGCTCAAGTGATAGAGCACTAGCATTGAGCCCAAAGAGACTCAGGGACAGCAGTCAGGCCTTGAGCTCAAGCCCCAGGACCCATAAAAATAAATAAACAATCAGCAGAAAGTAGGCCAAAGGTATGGCTCAGAGGAGAAGGTAGATTATTAATTCATGCAGTAATAAGTCACACAGGAAAAGAACTCAAAGCAGCAGCTTGGAACTTGGCTTACATAGCATCTCCAAAAAGGACAATAACAGCCAGGCACTGGTGGCTCACGCCTGTAATCCTAGCTACTCAGGAGGCTGAGATCTGAGGATTGTGGTTCAAAACCATCTCAGGCAGGAAAAGCTGTGAGACTCTTATCTCCAGTTAACCACCAGAAAACCAGAAGTGGTGCTGTGGCTCAAGGGATAGAGCAGTTGCCTTCAGCTAAAAAGATAAGGCACAGTGCCCAGGACCAGAGTTCAAGCCCCATGACCGACCGAAAATAAAAGGACAATAAATTTACAGAGAAATAGCAGGCTGAAAGTGGTTGTGGGCTTCCAATGACAGGGACCTGTGTGAAAGACAAACTTACAAGCGGAAAAACCAACTGGGTAAGACATGTTTACAGACTCTCTTGGTGCCATCTCTGGGCTGATGGGAGTTTAGAATTGTCTAAAAGAAAGCTTTACTGGCTTTTGCTTCTCCTTAAGTTGCAGTTCTGGGGTTTTGAATTTGGGACCTCCCACCTTGCTAAGTCTTCTACTTCTTGAGCTCTATCTCGAGCCTATAATACAGCTTTATTGAAATGTAATTGACATTATAATATCTACACATTTTTTTTTGTGTTCCAGTACTGAGTTCCTGAACTCAGGGCCTGGGCATTGTCTCTTGGCTTTTTAGCTCAAGGATTGTGCCATGTGAGGTACATCTCCATTTTGGGCTCCCTGTGGTTCACTGGAGATTAGAGCCTCATGGACTTTCCTGCTCAGCCTGACTTTGAATCAGTACAAAGAGGAGAATCATGATCCTCACACCTCAGCCTCCTGAGTAGCTAGGATTACAGGCTTGAGCCACTTTGCCCCACCCAGCTCTAAACTTTTTTTTTCTTTGTCGGTCGTGGGGCTTGAACTCTGGGCCTGGGCACTGTCCTTTTTCAGCTCAAGTTAGCGTTCTACCACTTGAGCCACAGTCAGTGCCACTTCCGGTTTTCTGGTGATTAATTGGAGATAAAGAGTCTCACAGACTTTCCTGCCCAGGCTGGTTTTGAACCGCAATCCTCAGATGTCAGCCTCCTGAGTAACTAGGATTATAGACCTGAGCCACTTAGTGCCCACCTCTAAACGTGTTTTGTTTTGGTTTTTTGGCTTTTCTTTTTTGATACTGGGGATCGAACCCAAGACATTGTACTTGCCAGGCAAGCAGTTTGCCACTGAGCTACATCCCAGCCCCTCTAAGCATTTTTAAAGTGGAAATTTTGATTAGTTTAGATATGTGTATGTATGACATCAAATCACACAACTATCAAATTTCAGTAAGTTTCACCACAATTCTATTATTAAATGTGAATTTTTCCCTTATGGCTTCTGCCTTTTTTTTTCTTCTTTTTTTGTTCTGATGACTTTGTCTTGTACGGAAATAGTCTTCAAGGCCCGCTTCCAACAATTGAGTATTTCACATTTGCGGGAGCTACAGGAATCAGTATTCCCACCCTGAGGTCTCGGCGCCCTCTTCTGACAGATCCTGTTCCTTACACTCAATCTTGACAGGGATCTTTCTTGCCTGTGGATCTAGTCTCCTGGGTTGGATCAGTTGGACCATTTCTTCACCACTCATATGCCAAAACCAACTGGGCTACTTTCTAAATTAGGTTTAGGCACCACCTTCTCCCAATGCATTTTTTTCTCCTCACAAATGTGATTCACCGACCCTTGGTTTCTACTGAGATTTTAATTCAGGGTCTAATGCTTACTAAGTGCACACTGCTATTACGTTACTTCCCTACTCCTCCCCCCACCCGACCTTTATAATGCCCTCGGTTTTTATGACAAGTTCTTGCTTGCCTAGCCACTCGCCTGGACTGGGATTCCTCTATTTTTCACTTCCTACAATAGCTGGGACAACAGGTATGTGCTACCATGCTCAGCTTCTTCCACTGAGATGGAGTTTCATAGACTTTTTTATTCAGGCTAACCTCCAACCTCAAACCTCCTAATCTCAGCCTCCCAAATAGCTAGAATTACAGGTGTAATCCCTCAGTGCCCAGCAGATGGTATCTAATTTAACAACTGATTTTGCAAGGGAAGGGGTGACATTGTCCAAAAAGAAGTGTATTCATTACCTGGCTTACGAAGCTAACACCTCTGTACATCATCTTTACAATAATTTTAAAGTTTTAAAAAAGTTTTACTATGTGGAGAAGATAAACATATTCTACATTGCCTTCTAAAAGTTTTATAGTTCTTCATCTCACTGTCAGTGAAATAAATGAGAGGTTGTTTATTTAAAGTATAAAACTTGCCAGGCACTGGTGGCTCACACCTGACTGTAATCCTAGCTACTCAGGAGGCTGAGATCTGAGAGTCATGGTTCAAAGCCAGGCTAGGCAGGAAAGTCACTGAGACTTATCTCCAGTTAATCGCTAGAAAACCAGAAGTGGAGCTGTGGCTCAAAGTGGTAGGCAATAACCTTGAGCAGGGACAGTGCCTAATAAAATAAAAAAAATTATAAATCAAACACCTGTTTGTGGCCAATGCCTGCAATCCTAGCTACTCAGAGGGCTGAGACCTGAGTGAGGGTCAATATTTGAAGCCAGCCCAGTCAGGAAAGTCCATGAAACTCTTACTTCCAATGAACCAGGAAAAGGCCACTGTTAGCCTTGAGGGGAAAAATGCTAAAGGATTATACCCAGGCCCTGAGTTCAAGCCTCTCTATCAGTGCAAAAAACAACCCCCCCATCACTTCATTTTTAGTTTGCTTTCTACGTGTTTTGTGATTTTTCAAGAATTTGTGTTGCCCTCCCCCAATTTGGAGAAGCAATCCTGTTCATTCTGATGTAAAGAATTTGACTTCATAACTGTTACGGGATTTGGGTCACCAGATCTGGAAACCAGAAATCTTTTGATCTTGTCAGAGAGAATTCAAGAATGGATACAGAAGCTACCTAAAGCAGAATCGGGTTTAGTTATATAAAGCAAAATGAAAGCAAAAGTGCCCTCTCCAGACAGGGGAATGTGCAGGCTCACGAAAGAGCCATGATCTGGAGGTCTCAAGAGCTCAACCATACATGAAACCCTCGGTTCGATTCCTCAGTGCCATATAAACAGAAAAAAACGGAAGTGGCGCTGTGGCTCAAGTGGTAGAGTGTTAGCCTTGAGTGAAGCAGCTCAGGCCCTGAGGTCAAGCCCCAGGACTGACAAAAATCTCAAGATTTCATTGGGGTCTGTGAGCTTGAGGGTAGTTAGTTCTGGAAAACTGGGTTCACATGTCTAACTCGTGAAGGCTGGGCTATGCAACATTATAAATGATGGGGTTACAAATTGGTCGTGATCCTTGCTTTGTATTGGATCTACATCTCTGGTCTGAACTGGCATGTGCAATTCCTTCACTTTCTCGTAGGGGGCGCTACTGAGACGGGCACGGCGGAGCGCAAGCGCCCGCCACATAAAGCAGGGAGACTCGTCCAGTAGGGGGCGTAGCCTGAGAGGTACGGGGCTGGGTATTGCGAGCCTTACGCAACGTCAGGGGGCGGGAGAAACAGTCGCCCCGCCCCAGCCAGCTGAGGCGCCCTGTGATTGGAGGAAAGAACCATCACTTGGCAGCGCCGTTGGGGCTGGTGGGAGGAAGAAGAGGGCTGTGGCCGCAGGTGACGCCGAGGCGGCGGGAGGTGCGGTGAGCGGAGCTCGGCGACTGCACTTTCGGGCACTCCCTCCGCCCCTTTCTCTGCGGTGGATGGCGGCGGGATGGAGCGCGAGGGGAGCGGCGGCAGCGGGGGCTCGGCCGGGCTCCTACAGCAGATCCTCAGCCTGAAGGTGGTACCGCGGGTGGGCAACGGGACCCTGTGCCCCAACTCCACCTCCCTCTGCTCCTTCCCAGGTAGGACCCCGCCCCGCGCCTGCGCAGTGCGCCCGCGCGCCGGCCGCCGCTCCCCCCTCCCCCCGCCCCGCTCCGTCCCCCCGCGTCGGGGTCCGCCGGGGCGGCCGCACCCGGCTCGTTCCGGGCGCGGGTCGGCGGCACTGGGGCGCAGGGGGGCGCCGGCCATCTCTCGGGGGGAGGTTCGGGGGGGCCGTCTCGGCCAGGCCGAGGGGCGGCCGGGTCTCACGCGTCCCCCCGAGCAGCCCGCAGCCCTCTTGGCGCCCCGGGCCCGCCGGCTTCGGGTCGCGGCTCCCGGGCCCCGATCCCGATCCCGCCCCCCTCCTCCGGCTGCTCTTTCTAGGGATCGCTGTTGGAGACCTGTTGCTTGCGAGCTTGGATTCGAACTCCCTTCTCCCCCCGTCCCCCCTCCCCGCCGCCCCTCCCTGAGGCCTGCTGGGTAGGAGAGGGGGGCTCGGGTCGGGCGAGGTTGGGGCTGCCCCGGAGGAGGGCCGAGGAGGCGCCCCCGCCCCCGGGGGAGAGGGTGGGCGCAGCTACGTGTGAGTGTGAGTGTGTGTGTGTGTGTGTGTGTGTGTGTGAGACCGGGAGGACTGGGGGGGGGGGCTGGGCTCCCTGACTTCGTTCCCAGAGAGAAACGGGGCCAGAGACGGGGCGGACGAGGGAGGACGGGGTTGCTGGCCGCAGTCTGGAGAAGATAAGGCACCTGCGGCCGGTCAGGCTGCGGGCAGCGACTGCCGGGCGCCTTCGCCGGGCGCGCCCGGGACTTGGGGCCTGGCCTGCCCCGCAGCCCCCGCGGGAGCCGATAGAGCCGTCGCCCGCCTCGGGCCGCTGAGGTGTTCGTTCGTCATCATGCCTACAATGAGACTGGCAGCTCAGAGTCGTGGCAAGGGTCAGCGCTGGGCGCGGGAGTTTGAGCCCCGGTGCCAGCACGCGCGCGCGCACACACACACACACACACACACACACACACACCTACCTGTGTGGAAGTGTTCGTACACTGCCAAGGCTACGTGCGTACGGGGGTTTTGTTCGTTTGTTTTTTGTTTGGGGGTGGTTTTTTTTTGTTTGTTTGTTTGTGTTTGGTTGGTCGTGGGGCCTGGGTGCTGTCCCTCAGCTCTTCAGCTCAAGGCTAGCGCTCTACCACTTGATCCACAACGCCACTTCTGGCTTTTTTCTTTTTGCTTATGTGGTGCTGAGGAATCGAACCCAGGGCCTCAGGCATGCAAGGCAAGCACTCTACCACTGAGCCACCTTCCCAGCCCGTTTTTTTTTTTTAAATTGTTAAAAAGATGAAAAGTAAAAAAGAAAAACTTGAAAAGTTAGAGTTATGTAAGTCAGGCAAAGAATACATTTCTTTTTGGACAATGTCACCCCTTCCCTTGCTGTCTTCCTAGTTTCTTCCTCCAGACCCCACCCACAAGTTGTATAGTTCATTTTCAACATAGTATAGAGCGAGTACCACTGCTGCATTTGTCCCCACACTTACCCCCTTTACCCTCCCAAAGGATAATTCTTTTTATTTGCTTATTTTCTCCAACTCTTTTTTGGAAAAATTTCCAATTCCTATAAATTGAAAAGCAGTGCAGTGAATACACTCACTTTAGGCTGGGTGATACAGTCACATGTGACTTCACAACTGTTTCTTTTTTATTTTTAATATATTTTTATTGTGAAAATACTGTACAGAGGGGTTACAATTACATGGGTAAGATAATGAGCACACTTCTTGTCAGGCATTGTAGCCTCCTGCTTTGTTTCCCCTTCCCGTCCCTTCATATCCTCCCCTCCCACTTCGTTTTTCGACATAAGGACTTGTACATCTCATTGTTGCAATGGGTCCTCCTGTATCCCTGTTTTTACAATTTCACAACTCTGTTTCTTAAAGTCCCATGTGACCATCATCATGTACTTAAGGCAAACCCAGCAGGCACACACCCAGGCTATGTTACAGTCTTGTAATATGTCTCTGACCTCCACTTTCTCCTGTACAAAGACCTCTGAGATTACCTTGGGTCCATTTGGAAAACCTGGATACTCTCCGGTTGGAAGATCTGTAAGTTGCTCCTGCACAGTCCCTTTGCCATGGAAAGTGGCATGCTCGTTCATGCGTATTGAGGATGAGCGTGTCAGTGTCCATTCTTCCCTGTGCTTACCCTCATGTCCCTTTATCGTCTTTTATCTGATCACTTAATCAGATTTACACTTTACCATAGGGTGAAGTTCATATTTGGTCTATGGCTGATGGAAAAGGCTTTCTGGGTCACACACGTGCACAGTCACGTTTTAGCTTTCTGCAACCCTGTTCAGGAAGTTGCACAAGTTATGATATGTAATGTGTAATACTTCTAAAACAAGGGCTTTTCTGTCATAACTGCAAACATTGATCTAATGGATCTAATCATGTCCTCCAACACTTAAATTCCCCCAGTTGACCAAATGGCTTTCTTGCTTTTTTTTTTTTTTTTTTCCTTAAAAAGCGCCTGGATCTAATCAGGGATCAAACATTACATTGATTGTGGTTTCTGTAAAGATTAATCTTGTTTTACTTCCATTTTTGACCCAGTTCTTTGAGATTGTGTGTGTGTCTGTCTGTCTGTCTGTCTGTGTCTGTGTGTGTGTGTGTGTGTGTGTCTGTCTGTCTGTCTGTCTATCCGTCTGTCTGTCTCCTGGGGCTTGAATTCAGGGTCTGGGCGCTTTCTGTCCCTGAGCTTTTTTGCTCAAGGCTAATGTTCTTCTACTTGAGCCACAGCTCCAGTTCTAGCTTTTTGGTGGCTAATTGGACATCAGAGCCTAACAGACTTTGCTGCCTGTGCTAGGTTCAAATTTTGACCCTCAGATCTCAGCCTCCTGAGTAGCTGGGATTTTTGAAGAACCTAAGGAAATTGTTTTGTAGTCCAGGTTCAGTGACTTTTCTTCATGCTTAGATGCAGATGAAATGTTTTTGGTCACAGTGCTACCTACAACATAGTTTGTTACACCAGGAGATCATCAATGTCCATTGATGCCCTTCATGATGCTTGCTTCATTTATTTGGCGCAAATAATCTATTGGCTCTTCACCCTAGTCCTCTTATGAGTAAAGTCCTGTGTGGGTGATATGTGGGAATTGAATATTCACTCCATTTGTCTATCTTTAAGGAGGATCGAGGCAAGTCAATCTGGGATGATAGTTTCAGGATATTATACTAAAACATCTGTAGTCATGGGAATTGTTTGCTTTCAGAAATGGTTATGAAGAGAATGAACTGCAATTTGTACTTGAGTTTGCCATTGCTTCTGTGGAGATGACACATGCTGGTATTGGTTACCAGTTCTCTGTGGTCTCTGGGCTGGGGATGCGGACGTCACGGAGTATAGCCCTTGACTCGGAATATAGTGCTAAACTCACACTCCCTGCTCTGGCTCCTCTTTGCTAGAATGGTGGGCTGGTGGGTAATGAAGTTTGTCACTTTGAAGCATCAAAACCTACTTAATGCGAATTTTATTCAGTGTCCTGACTCTGGCATCATTTCTATTTTGGCTCCACTGAAAAGGTTATTTGTAGTTTATGCCAACTCATTATGGCAGAATCATTGCTCTAAGGTAATTCTGTGGTTTCTCCCTACCAGGAAGCTTTGAATTGATTTTTATTTATTTATTTATGGCCTGGGCACTGTCCCTGAGCTCTTCAGCTCAAGGCTAGCGCTCTACCACTTGAGCCATAGGGCTACTTCCTGTCTTCTGGTGGCTCATTGGAGATAAGAGTCTCACAGACTTTCCTTGTTCAGGCTAGCTTTGAACCGTGATCCTCAGATCTCAGCCTCCTAAGTAGCTAGGATTACAGGCGTGAGCTACCAGCACCTGGCTGAATTGATTAGTTTTTTGTTTTTTGTTTTTTTGGTTGGTCATGGGGCTTGAACTCTGGGCCAGGGCGCTGTTCCGCAGCTCTTCAGCTCAAGGCTAGCGCTCTACCACTTGAGCCACAGCACCACATCCGGCTTTTTCTGCTTATGTGGTGCTGAGGAATCGAACCCAAGGCCTTCTACATGCACAGCAAGCACTCTACCACTGAGTTTTTTAAAGCACTCTACCACAGGTTTTTTAAAACCTGCATTTGCAGTTTGGCTGTTTAAGATTTCCACCTAACTCTCCTTATTCTATCCTAAATTGTTCAATTTCTCCCTCCCTCCCTTCCTTTCTTCTCTCCTTCCTTCCTCCCTCCCCTTCTCTTTCTCTCTTTCTACTCTCTCTCTCTCTCTTTTGTTTTGAGAATGTTTTCATTGAGTACATTAGGCTGACCTTGAACTTGTGATCTTCCTGCTTCAGCCTCCCCTGGGATTACAGCAGTGTCACCACTCTTGGCAGTGTTTCCATCTCCTTTTTGCTGTCTTGTTTATCTATCAGGAATGGCATTTCCTGAAAATAGGGATTTCAACCAAGTGAATCATTGCCAAGGTCTATTTTATAATAATTAAACTAAAAGCTGATATTTTGTTTGGAATCAGAAAAAAAATCACGTAGAGAATTCCTGGTTTTCAGTCACACTGTTTGTTTTCTGGGCACCAAGTTAAGGTACCTGGTGAACAGAACAAAGCTTGTGCCACATAGAGCTTCCATTCCATTAGCGTTTGGGGGAGAAAATAAGCATGGAACGGAACATCTGAGGGTAAGTGTGATATGGGATTAAGTACATAGTGTGTGTGTGTGTGTGTGTGTGTGTGTGTGTGTGTGTGTGTGTGTGTGTGTGTGTGTGTAGTTGAGGGATGATCTGACCTTCCCCCCCCATATATAGTCTAGTGGGTTATAATATAGTTCAGAATTGTACACTGTGACCACAGTCAGTGTGAGAATATTTTCACCACTCCTTCTTGATTCCACTGAGTGAGTGACTAGCTTTGCATGGAGAACAGACAAGGTGGGACCAGGTTGGGACCAAGACCACCGGGCGTGGGGCAGCCCAGGGCTCACATTCCCAAACCAGGGACCAGAGGCAAGCAGTGGTTTCAGGAGGAAGACGGCACAGTAAGCAGTCCGGAGGCCAGTATTGTGTTCAGGGGAACTGGGGACAGATGGAGCTCCTGGCAGGCAGGAGCTTGTTGGCAGGAGTCTCCCAGAGGGCAGTGGGGAGATGCGGGATGATGGGCCATGAGCACCCTGACCACCCAGCAGCCGGATGGAGTTGCAGGACTGGATAGGTCTCCAATCTCCAGGAGGACCCGTGTGGTCCTTTAGAGACAGTCGCAGCTTTAGAGAAGCTGGCCAAGTGCACCCACTGTGACCTGGACCCTAAGGTCAGGGTGGAGCCAGCTGCAAGGCTGGCTGCCTCCTTGCTGGCGCTGATGGGGGCCAAGTTCATCCCGAGGCCATATTGGAAGTGAGATGACTCAGCTGTGGAGGTTCTGAGGCCAGGGAGCTTGTCCTCACAAAGCCCTTTATGCATAGGATTTTGTTCATTTAGAGTCACATAGAGAGCTGCTCTCCACATGGCTTTTCTTTCCCTGGATTTTTGGCAGCACTGGGGGTTGAACTCAGCACGCTGCACTTGCTGGGCAGGTGCTCTACTGCCCTACTGCTCTACTGCTGAGCCATGCTACCAGCCCTTTTTTTGCACTGGTTATTTGTTTACTTTTGCTGGCACCTGGGTTTGAACTTGGGGCCAGGCTGAGCAAGCAAAGGGGCCCTTCCACTTGAGCCCCACCTCTAGACCTTCGTCTTTTTTTCTTCACTGATGTGCCCGACATAGATGTGCTCAATAAATATTTGAGTATGTAATGGATAAGTTCTTAGTGTTTGAATTAGTTTATTAGTGCACCAATTTGGCATCCTAAACAAGTTTTTACCATTTTACAGTCCTGGAGGTCAGGAGTCCAAGAGGTCTCACCAGGCTAAAACCAAAGGTATGGGTAGGACTGGGTTCCTTCTGGAAGGACCAGAAAGAGTTCCTTTTTTTTTTTTTTGCCAGTTGTGGGGCTTGAACTCTGGGCCTGGGTGCTGTCCCTCAGCTCTTCAGCTCAAGGCGAGCTCTCTACCACTTGAACTACAGTGCCACTTCCTATTTTCTGGTAGTTTATTGGAGATCAGAGTCTCATGGACTTTCCTGCCCAGGCTGGCTTTGAACCGCAATCCTCAGGTGTCAGCTCCTGAGTAGCTAGGATTACAGGTGTGAGCCAACAGTGCCTGGTGTTCCTTACCTTTTGCAGCTTCTTAGAGGCTGCCTGCATTCCTGGGCTCATGGCCTCTTTCTCTTCAGAGCCAACAGCATAACATCTTCAAAATCTCTAGGACACTGGCCTCCTGCCTCCCCTTTGCTGGACCCTTATGATTACGTCAGGTCCATCTGGAAAATCCTGACAATCTCCCACGGAAGGTCCTTAATGTAATCCCATCTGCATGAAAGTATCATTTTGCCCAGTTTGGGGGATGAGGATGTGAAAATCTTTGGGGTCTGTTCTACCCCTGCACTTTCATTTCTCTTTCTAGTCTTTTACTGCAGATTACTTATCTGATGCATACTTCACCATGATAGGCCTTTCACTGCCTCTGTGGTTTGAAATAATTTCCTCATGAATGGATTGTGGTGGGCACAGGGTTTTGTTTTGTTTTATGCCACAAGTGGGCCTTGAGCTCAGGGCCTGAGGGCTGTCCCTGAGCTTTTGTGCTGAAGGCTAGCACTCTGCCACTTGAGCCACAGATCCACTTCTGGCTTTTGGGTGGTTAATTGGAGAGAAGAGTTTTACAGACTTTCTTGCCCAGGCTGGCTTTGAACTTTGATCCTCAGACCTCAGCCTCCTGAGTAGCTAGGATTGTAGGTGTGTGCCACAGGTGCCCGGCTGAGATTATGGGTTTGTAATAAAGGCGAGGTTGGCCCACTGTGTAGTCTCCCTCTCCCAGGATGTAGTGGAGCCATAGGCGTGGCCTAGTACAGCTAGAGACCACCAGATGTGGCCTCTCAGCCTTGGTCTCCCAGCTTACAGAATTGTGAGCTGAAGAATTTTAGTTGTAGCAGCACAAAGCAGACCTGCACAGCTGCCAAAGAAAACAAAGCTAGAGATAATGCACTTGAAGTGGTAAACAAGAAATACTGTAAGATAGAACAAATAATTTTGACTGTGTTGGGCCAGGGAAATGAAAAGTACTGGATAACAATCGGTAAGTAGCTATTAAGTAGATGGCAAATTAAGGTATGGGAGATTAAAGAGAAATCACTTAGTTTTTTTAAAAAGTGTTTTCTATAGATCTGGATTTGCTTTTGCTATTAAGAGTCCTTTAATAATCCCATTCATCTGAAGTACAATATAATACCTTTTTTTCCCCCTACTGAAGCGACTTAAGTGGAACTATATCAATATGTAGGTGCCTGAGGTAGGTGCCAATGGTTGTAGTTCAGAGATATAGGGCTGCAGCTGCTGCTCCCCCTTCTCTGAGACTCAAATGGTTTTGGAAAGGAAGCCCTGGAGAGGATGAGGACCTTTTGTGGTGCTTGCCAAGCCTTATGCATGACCCAGTCTTTCATGTCCTTTGCAGAGATGTGGTATGGTGTGTTCCTGTGGGCACTGGTGTCTTCTCTCTTCTTTCATGTCCCTGCTGGATTACTGGCCCTCTTCACGCTCAGACATCACAAATATGGTAGGTTCATGTCTGTAAGCATCCTGTTGATGGGCATCGTGGGACCAATTACTGCTGGAATCTTGACAAGTATGTTAGACATTAAAATACCAGTCAAAACGTTGAAATGTGCCTCGTCGGTTCATTTAGGATTCATTTTAGAAATATATCTGAGTGGGATAAATTTTTTTAAAGAGTAGTGTCTATCATTATGAGACTTTAATCCTCCTCCTCCTCCTCCTCCTCCTCCTCCTCCTCCTCCTCCTTCTCCTTCTCCTCCTTCTCTTCCTCCTCCTCCTCCTCCTCTTCCTCCTTCTCCTCCTCCTCCTCCTCCTCCTCCTCTTCCTCCTTCTCTTCTTCCTCCTCCTCCTCTTCCCTCTCCTCCTCCTCTTCCTCCTCCTCCTCATTTAATAATGTGTGCTGGTCCTGGAGCTCAAACTCAGCACCTTGGTGCTATCCCTGAGCTTTTTTTCATTCAAGGTTAGCACTCTACAGCCACAGCTCCACTTTCAGCTTTTTAGTGGTTAATTGAAGATAAGAGTAAGAGACTTTTCTGTCCAGGCTGGCTTTGAAATATAGATCCTCAGATCTCAGCCTCCTGAGTAGCTAGGATTACAGGCATGAGCCACCAGAGCTCTGAGGCTTTTTTCTTCTCTTCTTTTGTTATGGGCTTATTTTAGTTCTGGGGTTTGCTTTTTGCTCAAAGCTGGTGGAGAAAAGTGGAGCATAGCTCCACTTTAGGCTTTGTGGTGCTTAATCATAGATGAGGGTCTCATGGACATCCCTTCCCCAGGCTGGCTTCAAACCATGTTCCTCTAATCTCAGCCTCCTGAGTGGTTAGGATTACAGGTTTGAGCCACCAGTGCCCAGGTCTCGATAAAGTTCTTTAAGCTTCCTTCTGCCCAGCCCACTCTTTGAGGGGAGCTAAATTACAGAGGCTCAATGAAGAATGCATTCTGAGACATTGGTGACATCCAGTGCCACTGGAGGTAGGTTTTTTTTTTTTTGGGTCCGGTCATGGGGCCTGAACTCTGGGCCTGGGCGCTGTCCCTCAGCTCTTCAGCTCAAGGCTAGTGTTCTACCTCTTGAGCCACAGCGCCACTTCCGGCTTTTTTTTTTTGCTTATGTGGTGCTGAGGAATCGAACCCAGGGCCTCATGCATCAAGGCAAGCGCTCTACCACTGAGCTACCTTCCCAGTCCCTGGAGGTAGATTTTCTTTGCGTGCTGTACACTAGACCTTGGGCCCGTGAGTTTAGCAGCCCCTAAGCCCTGAACTCAACCACCAACCCTGAAGAAAACATTTTCAAGTCACAGATGCTCAAGGCAGCCAACCTTTGGTTAATATTCTTTTTATTTTATTTTTTGTTGGTCGTGGATGCTGAGCTTTTTTTGCTCAAGGTTAGCTCTCAACCACTTTGAGTGACAGCTCCACTTCTGGTTTTCTACTCATTAATTGGAGAAAAGAGTCTCATGAACTTTCCTCCCTGCGTTGGCTTCTAACTTTGATTCTCAGATCTCAGCCTCCTGAGTAGCTAGGATTATAGGCGTGAGCCACCAGCCCCCAGCTTAATACTTTCATATTATATTTATAAGATGTGTGGTGTTGAGAAATGACTCCCTGTCTTTTTGCTGGCTAAGCATAATGACTACTACTGAGCTACAGTACTCCAGCCCAAATGTGTATAGACATTTTATTGAGGACTATGTATTACCAGTCTCTGCCCCAATCAGCTAAGTACTGGATAGACACAGTTGTTTTGTGTTCTCAATTTCTAGGAAGTTTTCTAGCATCAAAACAATTATGTAGGCGAGAAAGAAACCCCTGGGATTACTCTTGTTGCCTTTAATTTTTTTTTTTTCTCTTACTTACAATGGATTCCCCTATATAGCCCAGTCTGGCCTCAAACCCACACTCCTCCCCTACCCCCCACCCCCTCCTGAATGCCTGAATTATAGGTATACACTACCACACCTGGTTCTATGTGTCCTCTGAACAACTTCCGTGGTTTAGAGTCCTCTTCCCTTCCTCTGTCCATAGCCCCTCACCCTCTCCTCTTTCTCTTTCTTAAGTGGAACCATGAGGATGATAGAAAGTGGAGCCGCAAGAAAGGAGATTATTTCCTGTGGCCTGGAACATTTCTTGCTTGTCTCACTCAGGAGACTCATTTATTACCAACATTTTATTACATACTTCTTAAGAGGCATGGGGTTAAATTGCATGGAAATAAAAAGATTTTTGAGTTCATAGTCAGGTCATGTGGAAGTTGCTATGATTTTGATTATTCTAGGTGATTATGGTGGTGGTGGTGGTAGGGGTGGTAGTGATGGTGATGATGGTGGTGGTGGTGATGATGATGATTATGATTTGTACTAGAACTCTGGACCTAGGTACTGTCCTTTAGGTTTTTTTTTTGCTCAAAGCTGGTACTCTACCATGTGAGTCACCATTCCACTTTTGACTTTTTGGTGGCTAATTGGAGATAATATTCTCATGAACCTTCCTACTGGAGTGGCATTAAACCATGATCCTTAGATCTCAGCCTCATGAGTAGCTAGGAGTACAAACTGGCACCCAGCACTTCCAGATACTTTTTTTTCAATTAATGTAGTAGACTCTCAGTGTTAGGGAGTCCACATCTAAAACCTCATTTCAGTGATTTGCAGAGCATATAAAGAACACTTAACAACTAGAGTGAGTAGGAAGAACAGAGGAAATAAAGCATTTCTGTAATTTTTTTATTGTTATAAAGGTGATGTGCAGAGGGCTTATGGTTACATAAGTCAGGTAATAAGTACATCTCTTTCTGAACAATCATGTCTGTAATATTTACATTTTAGTGTAAAAAATCTGGAACATTCTGTTTAGAGTGGGACTTTAAGTGGTATATTTTCATGATTTTTGTTAACCTCACTTTTTTCCTAACACCCTTGAATTTTGAACCAGGTGCCGCCATTGCCGGAGTATACCGCGCAGCAGGGAAGGAGATGATACCATTTGAGGCCCTCACCCTGGGCACGGGACAGACGTTCTGTGTAGTGGTGGTCTCTTTTTTACGGGTTTTAGCTACTCTATAGCATATACTCTCTATGGTATGAGGCTAAGCTCTGTTTTAGAACAGCCTCAGAAGGAATACATTGGAGTAGTATTTTCTTAAGCTCTCCAAATGGAAGCAACGTGGATGAATAGGAATCTGAACCACATCTCCGCCTCTTCTTCAACTTGACACGCCAGCCATCAAAGGTCTCTGTGGACTCCTGTTATTCCCAACCAAGACAGAACAAGTTGCTTGCTTTTCTTTCTATGGACATTTAATTGAAGAACTTTCACGTGCACACCTTGACCCAAGCCAAGCCATCATCGCTTCTGGATTGTATCGCTTGCCACTTGAATTTCCAATAGTCTGTGAGGAAATGCAGAGTCTCTCACCTCTTTCAGAGCAACTATGGAAACTACTGGCTCATTTCAAGTGTGAGTACTCTGTGCTGAAATCTTAGTTGACCTAAACTTGATTAAAATCTGAAAACTCCTTTTGCGACAGCTTCATGATGATAACACCAAGTTTCGGTTGAGTCTAGCTGTGAGAACAAATTTAGTGAACTATAACAGGTAAACAATCGAGTAACTCAAGGAAATGGCTTTGTTCCCACTGAGAATGTGATATTTTATGGAAAACTGCCTTGACCTCTGGTTATTTATTTTAAGAGATGTGAACTTAACTGTTTTGTACATTTGGCCAAAATAAGCTAGTTAATTCAGATGCTGGGTTTGTTTTGGTTTTTCTTTTCCCAAGGGAAGGTCTCACTGTGCAAGTGGTCCAGGCTGGCCTTAACCTCACAATCTTACTGCCTCAGCCTCCTAAGTGCTAGGATGACAGGGATGCACAAAACATTTTATTTTTAAAGTGATGAGCTCACTGTGTGGGCCAGGCTGGTCCCGAACTCCTGCACGCCAGTGATCCGCCTGCCTCAGCCTCCCAAATAGCGGGGACTGCAGGCACACACCATCATGCCTGGTTGAGACTTTTCCAAAGAATTTCTATACCCCATTTGAAAAAAAAATTAGTTTTAGTTTAGCTGGAAAGATACCTACCCTATTCAGAAGTTTGAGTTGAAATTTTAAGCCACATTGGGTTAGGGTACCTTTCCCTTTGGGCATTCAGGCACATACATATATCCGACATGCTATGATAGTTTTTCTTAGAGACTTTAGTTTATAGATGACTCTTGAGAGATTGAGGAAGTGTGGCTGAAATGAGGGTAGGTGTTGGGGACTTGGGGGTTGTAATCTGTTTACCTAGCACGGCCCCACAACCCACTTTGCAGTATTAGAGCATCACCTCCCAGAAAGTGCCTGAAGTTTCCTTTCCAGGCACACCTCCATCCTGCCCCTTTCAACTTTTAGTCAAGAGAATTTTTATCCTTAAAGAGATGTCCAAGTTTTAAATTTTGGATATTTAATTTTTGAGATTTTTAAAAACTCAACATTTAGCTGTTTTAATTTCTATTCTGCTGCTGAGTTCTTTTTTCATTGAAAGGCTTGGAAAAACTGTGACCTTCAAAAGGGAAACAATTGCAAAAATTAAGTAACTTTTACCACCTAAACTGTTTAATACAGGGCACAATCAATGGTGTTGTTGTCTTCCAGACAATAACTGTCATCCCGAAGGAGGGCTTTCATTGAGAGATGACAGGTCCCAGTCCACAAGCTCAAATGCAAGTGAATTTCTTTAAAGCCTCTGGCTTCTGATTAGAAGGATCAGGAGGATCAATTCGTTTCATCACTTATCAAAATTAGAGTGACATATATCAAAATAGCAGGAAAATTGTGAGTACACGTAAACGTCCTTTCAGATTTCCTAACAGGAAGCTCAGCTTTCTTCCAACAAATTGTTAAAGATTTCAGTTTGTAGTTCAAAGAGATGTGTTTTGTTTTGTTTTTTAGAAAACATCCCTTCAAACCATGTCTGTAATCCTAGCTACTCTGGAGGCTGAGATCATAGGATTATGGTTCAAAGCTGGCCTGGTCAGAAAAGTCTGTGAGACTTTTATCTCCACTTGACCACCAAAAAGCTGAAAGTAGGGCTGTGGATCAAGTAGCAGAGCACCAGCCTTAGGCAAAAAAGCTAAGGTGCAAACACTGTGGATCAAGTAGCAGAGCACCAGCCTTAGGCAAAAAAGCTAAGGTGCAAACACCCAGACCCTGAGTTCAAGCCCCGATGCTAGTACACACACACAAAATGAAGGAAGGAAAGGAAGGGAAAAATCTCCCTTCAGTTTAAGAAACTCCTTTTATACTGGAAGATGATATTGAGTATCTCTATTAGATGATGCATCTTATTAGAGGTTTCACCTAAAACATTCTTTAGGATATAATTTCACAAATTTAACATGTGGGGCCAGTAGTTAGGGGACTGTTACCCTGACTTCTAACTTTTGAACATAACAACCCATGATAAAAATGTTATTTTTGGGCTGGGAAGGTGGCTCAGTGGTAGAGCATTGCCTTGCATGCCTGAGGCCCTGGGTTTGATTCCTCAGCACCACATAAGCAAAAAGAAAAAAGCCGGAAGTGGTTCTGTGGCTCAAGTGGTAGAGTACTAGCCTTGAGCTGAAGAGCTGAGGGATAGCACCCAGGCCCAGAGTTCAGGCCCCACGACCGGACCCCCCCCCCCCCAAAAAAAAAAAAAAAAGTTATTTTTATTTGGAGCCAAGATGAGAAAGTTAGGACATTTTGGAAGATCTTTTTTTTTTTTTTTGTCTGTTTCTTGTTTGATATACTTTATCTGTTCTTTTAAAACACTTAAAATATAAAGTATATCTCTAAATTATTGAATGTTTTATTTGTCCCAGTTTGTGAAGCATTCTCATCTGAGTAAATGTATATAGAATTTATATAGATTAAACTGTGTAGCTTAAATGTTTTCAGGGAGAAACTGAATGATAACAAAGAATGTATTCCACTTTGGTGGGGTTTTTTTTCCTGTCTCTTTTCTTCCTGATTCTTGTCTCAAATACAGAATTATTTGCAGTTGGCTGCTCAGATGATAGAATGTTGGCATTCATGTCGAACATTTTACCTAATAAAATTTTTTGAGAACTTTTGCCAACAACTGACTTTCTTAGAGACATTCAGCCATCATTTCCCCAGCAAGGTTCAACTTTACTTTCTGTAAATGCTGAGAAAAGGGAGGTAGTCCTCAGTAATTGTTTGAAAATCAAAAATCAACCCTGTTGATTCTTTAATAGGCTTTTGGGGTGAAAGCATTTGGTGAGAACTGAAAAAATTCATAAGCAAGAGCAGAATGAATGTTGCAAGAGAAAGATGTCACTGTACTATGTATATTTGCCAAAGTCTGCTAAAAGGCATCAAGTAACACTGTTTCAACTAGTGAGAAGCAGCTGATGGAAATAACTAACCTTGTATCCTTCCTTACATCCCTTCACATTTTTAATCAATCATATGTTGGCTTTTGATTCCAATGTCCTTTCTGACCATTCTGGTTTGCATTAAGTTCTTATTACACTGCAGAACACGCCAACCTTCCCTTTGGAGCTGTTTCCTGGAATGTGACGCCCTGGTGCCGTTAGCAATCCACACACAGAAGTCTGTGAAGTTGCATTTCTTTTTTTGTGCATTCTGTGAGGCTGGTTGTGACCAAAATCAGCTTAACTTTTTAAAAATTAGGTAATTTCACTAACTGCTACAGTTAAAATGATCAAATCTTTGTACAATAGGAAATTATTTAAACTTTATTTTTCTACTGACATTTCTAATTCTAATGTGTAAATGTTTATCAATAAAGAGTTACTTTAAATTCTTTGGGTTGGAATTGCATTTCTTTTTGAGTAGCCAGAAAGTTTATCTTTTGTAATAAAGTTGATCAGTTTTTTTTTTTGTTGTTGTTGTTGTGTTTTTTGTTTTTTTTGGTCAGTCATGGGACTTGAACTCTGGGCCTGGGCATTGTCCCTGAGCTCTTTTGCTCAAGGCTAGCGCTCTATCATTTTGAGCCACAGCTCCACTTCTGGTTTTTGACTGGTTAATTGGAGAGAAGAGTCTCACAGGGACTTTCTGCCTGTGCTGGCTTCTATCTGCGATCCTCAGATCTCAGGCTCCTGAGTAGCTAGGATTACAGGCGAGAGCCACCAGCGCCTGGCCTTTCACTGTATTTTATGTCAACTTTTTTCTAAGTTACAGGAAAATTCTTACTCAAAGATGTAATTATACTTACATGTGACCTTGATTCATTAACTCTGTGGGATATCAAGAAACTTTGGTATGACTCTATATTCTTGTTTGTGAATAACATTTCTATAGTAAGAATAGTGAAGCATTGCTTGTAGGTTAGGTTCTTGTAAGCTTGTGGAAACCTTTTGTCACCTGACCTGTTTTAGGTATGTGTCTGTTCAAAGACATCTTTCACTGGGAGCCAGTGGCTCAAACCTGTAATTCTAGCTACTCAGGAGGCTGATTTGAAGATCAAAATTGGAAGCCAGCTGTGGCAGGAAAGTCTGTGAGACTCTTATTAACCACCAGAAAACCAGAAATGGCATCTGTAACTCAAATGGTAGAGTTCTAGTCTCGAGAAGAAAACAAAACAAAACCAAAAACTCAGGGACAGTGCCTTGAGTTCAAGCTCCAGGATCCACACAAAAACTCAGTTGCACACATCTCAGAAGACACCTTAGTTGCCATACACAACAAAGGGAGACTAAGTGCTGAGAATGATGGTTCAAAGCCAGCCCAGGCAGGAAAGCCTGTGAGACACATCTCCAATTAACCAGCAAAAAGCCATAAATGAAGCTGTGGCTCAAATGGTAAAGGAGAAAAAGCTCAAGTATAGCACCTAGGCCCTGAGTTCAAGCCCCAGTACAAATAGGAAAAAAAACACAAACAGGAGCAGGGCGCTGGTGGCTCACAATAATCCTAGCTACTCAGGAGGCTAAGATCTGAGGATTGCAGTTTGAAGTCATCCCTGGAAGAAAAATCCCTGTGAGACTCTTATCTCCAATTAACCACTCAGAAAACAGAAGTGGCACTGTAGCTCAAGTTGTGCAGTGCTAGCCTTGAGCACAAAGAGGCTCAGGGACAGTGCCCAGGACCTGAGTTCAAGCCCCAAAACTGACCAAAAAAAAAAAAAGTTTACAAACATTAAATGCTTATTATTGATGGAAATGCAGGTTGTGATGGAGTAATGTGCAGTGTGATTCAACTCAACTATGTCCCCTAAAGACCCAGCAAGGCGGGGGGGGGGGGGGGGGGTGGTGGAATTCCACAGAAGAGGGAAAAGGTAGCACATGGGCATCTATTGGCAGTTCTTCCTTAAAAGTTTGACTATCTCCACTAACGATGCATTGGGCTCTCTCAATCTGATGTGAAAAACTGAACCAGCTTGGCTTGGCTTTCTGCCTCATGTTTTTAAGCATCTGCATGTAAAGAGCAAATCAGTGGAGGTGAGGGGTTAAATTTGAGGTTGTGACCAAGCATAGGGTCACACTCTAACATTGGCATTAAAAAATGTCCAGCAGAGCAGAATTCCATTCTGTTGTTTTGGCCGCTGTAAAAGGGACAATTCTTGAGAGTCTTGTGTTCTCCTCCTCCTCCTCATAGCTGACTCCTACAGCTTACTTTGCCATCTCATCTAGGTCTTCATTTGATGGACTCTACTGTCTTGTCTGCCAAAAATTCTCCACATCTTTTTCATTCATTGTCCTAAAGGCCCCCAATTATTTGCCATGCAGTAGGTGTTATTGACTGTTCTTTATATTTGTTCTGTGACACTTTCTACACAGTCTGGCCAAACTTTCTAACAGTTACCAAGAGCAGCTGACGATATTAATTCCATGCTATTCCAGTGTAACTGATAAGGTTGCATATAGTAACTGACTACCAGTAGGACATTATTGTGGTTTCCTTGTTGGCCTTGTGGGTCTTCCAGGCCTTCATTTTAAAGCTTGTGTAGTGTGCCTTGAAAGCGTTTATTATGCCCCAATCAAGTGGTTGGATGAGTGTTTGAGGACATAAGAAAAAAAACAACAAACTTCTGCATTGGGGTGTGCATATTCCAGTTCTTCATGGCAATGGACAAAAGGCATTAGTAAAAATCAGTAAAACCAAGCCGGGCGCTGGTGGCTCACGCCTGTAATCCTAGCTACTCAGGAGGCTGAGATCTGAGGATCGCGGTTCAAAGCCAGCCCGGGCAAGAAAGACCGTGAGACTCCTATCTCCAATAAACCACCAGAAAACCGGAAGTGGCGCTGTAGCTCAAGTGGTAGAGCGCTCGCCTTGAGCTGAAGAGCTGAGAGACAGTGCCCAGGCCCAGAGTTCAAGCCCCACGACCGACAAAAAAAAAAAAAAAAATCAGTAAAACCTTGAAAGCAAGATTTCTGCTCTGTACTTTTTTGTTCCACCAACAATGGACTGGCATATGTTTCGCATTTTCCTCTTTAAGTGTTTGTAAACTGTGGGCTCTATACAACATAAAGGGTTTGCACTTCAAGTCGCCCTTGGCATTGGCACACAACAGCAAAGCCAGGAACTTTAGAGGCTATTTGCATTAAATGTCAGTATCCTTGTTTAGCCAGTCTTGCTGGGCACTGGTGACTCACACCTGTAATCCTAGCTACTCAGGAAGCTGAGATCTGAGGATCATGTTTCAAAGCCAGCCCAGACGGGAAAGTCTGTGAGACTTTTATCTCCAGAAAACCAGAAGTGGAGCTGTGGTTCAAATGGTAGAGCAGTAGCTGTGTGGAGATGGGGGAGCTCAGGGACAGCACCCAGGCAAAGTTCAAGGGCCACCACCGTCAAAAAGAAGGGAGGGAGGGAGGGCCAGTCTTCTCACTATTGTAACCCTGCTCTTCACATAACTCTTATCCTGGATGACAGTGTTATTTAAATCCTTCTTCTGTCTCTGATCTGTAGAACTTGCCTGGCCTTTAACTTTGAACATTTTTTTTTGGGGGGGGGGGGGATCTACCACAGCCACCTTCCCAG